ATATATATATATATATATATATATATATATATATATATATATATATATATATATATATATATATATATATATAATGTGTTAAATTTGAAAAATGCATGTGTTTACATACCACAACTCTGGCACAAACTGAAAGCACTCTATATATTAAATTGATCGTAACTACAGTGTCCTCAGATATGGGAACAAGGAAGGAACAGAAAGTATATCCCCAGTAACCCTGGCAATGCCATTAACTCCATCCTCAGACCACCCCAGTCTGATATTACACTCAGCTACACTGGGGAAGCACAGCAAACAATACATCAAAGAGAGAGCCAGACAAAACACCCACTTTCACAAAATGCTGTTACACATTTCAGGCAAAACATCCCTAGTGCGATTAAATCAGATAGTTATTCAAGGTACACCTACAGCCAGAAAAACTATTCATGTGGATGCAGAGGAACGGAACAAACGCATGTTTATTTCCAGAAGAAAAAGAATTCGGACAGGCACCGCTTACAAAGATAAAGGCTTCAAGGGTATAACTAGGAAGTCCACCTCTCCCAGATTAGCCCACTGTTTTGAATGAGTCATTTTCCAGTGACAGGGGCAGTCACATGATTGCGGAGGGTGACGGTCCGTAACCTTTTTCCTGAATAGTTCTTATGTTGTGTAATAGGTCATGTGCCAAATCCGACTTGCAGATCAAGGTTAAAAAAGATGCCATACGATGAGGCTCAGTAAACAGCGGCCCATGAGGACTGCGTCCACTGGACTGCCACATTTTCGACACCCACAGAAACTGCAGTAATACTTTGAAATCTACTCAGTGAGTACATTAGGGATCCACACAAATGATGATGAGTGCCTTTATCAGACCACCAACAAGTCCAAGTTATTTTTAACCAATTCTTGACAAAGTCTGTGACTCTAAACTTAAAAGGGCACAGATCTGATGAATTCAGTGACATACAATCACTTGAAATGCTTCTCTGCTATCTGAAAAGCACCCGGAGAAGCCAACCCCGACAGGTAAGATCCTTATACCCCAGCTGACAATAAGTACATTCAGGATGGGCATGGCTTCTTCCGCCCCAAGGGAAGCACAACACGGAAGAGGACCCCCTTCGTCTCTGGGGCGCAGCCGGAGAGATCAAAGAGTGACACTCCGTATTTCGGGCTCCAGGCATATTACACCATGTTCGGCCGGAAATATTTCTCCCGTAGATCCAATTTTAACATTCATCTCCAGTGGCATGGACATAATATAGCTCCTGTTTGTATGTTAACCTCCAGTGTTGACAGGGTCCTATGTCTACCAACATTCACAACCTCAGTTTAACCTCCAAGCTAGATATTGATAAAATACTGGAACTATTGCTGGAAGTAGTCATGGGCAGTTGCATGGTCTTATGTTGCTTTAGAGTGTAACAGTTACATTATATTCAAATGCCTCCATTCTAACTGAAACTACAAGACATTCCCAAAGAACTTACATGCACCTCTTTCTATTGTTTTTGCATTCATCTTTAAAAGACACATTTTAAGCCAGAGACGGACGTTATTAAATCTACTTAGTGGAGCTGTATAGTGTATTCCAGACATGCTCAGAAAACACCACAGCTTCTCAGGTGTAACTCCACATGACCTGTACCTGCACATCTCCTGTTGCTGGCTGAAGCTGTCAGGTGCCCAAACGGAGGCAAGCAGCTCCACTCACACGGGGTGCCAATCATGTAGCCATTTCTGTTTCCTTTTTTTTTAATAGATGTGCTTCGACGGTGGTCAGCAGCTGGGTTGCTAATAAACGGCCAACGCCATGATGGCATTCCGCAGATACTCTCCGAGGGTTTTTATTTCGGACCTCAGATGGACCTCTCCGCTTCTTGGTGGAAGCCGGAAACAGGAGTGGAAAAACTTGCAGAGCATTCCAGCATTGCCTGAAGTCTGTGGCCATTTTATACAATCCAGGTTTATTCATGATACACATGTCAAAATACCTTGCTACGTGCACTGAGGGGAAATAAAACATTATAATGGAACTGACAGCCATTACGAGGCCTGCACTATCAGGATCTTTAACAATCAGTCCCTAGTGCTCAATGACAAAATTCAGACTCGTGAAATGAACACCCTGTGGGGGGTGGTGGGGGTCGGTATGGACTTCACAGGCTGTGGGGGAGTAAAATTCCAAAATGGACGATGCACAGGATCGCCGTGGAAGGTATTTTCTTGCTCAAGACACAAAACTTGGCTGGGACAAGCTGAAACTAGCATTCTTTACTTGAGCTCTAAGCATGGGGCGGGCTAAAGAAACCTGGATTGGTGGGGGTGGGGGGTACGGCAGAGGGGGGCTCTGGCCAAACCGCACTGTGGGCTGGAGAAACAAGCGCTTTCTTCATGGCAAAGGAGCATCGCAGCATTCCTTGGGCACCGCTCTGCCAGCAAGTGTGTGGACTTTCCACGCCGGCCTTTGTGCGCGCCCGCAGAGTCCTGGCTGACGCGGCACACCGCATTACCGGCTCATTTTCCGTCCTCCAAAGGCGTACAAACTGTATAGCAAGACTGAGCTCTCAGAAGACCAGGAAGAGAGCACAGACAAAGAATCATGAAATATGACACTGATTTGAAGGAATGGCACAGAAGGTGGAGTGTGGGGGGGGCGGGGGGGGATGGAAGGGGGGGGGGTTGGGGTCTCGCGGTGCAGGCACAGAGCACTTTAGGCACTAACTCTCCCCAGCTCTGTTTTTCCCATGTCGCCATGACATCATACACACAGACCCCAAGGGTTCATTTGAGCTGTTTTATTGTGTGTTATTGTGTGGGGCTCTTTAAATACGCAGCATGTCGGACCGTCACTTCGAACAAGGACAGTGATAACCGATCCATTCCCAGTGCAGCTAGGTAAACAGAGACTTCCTCTAGCCTTTTTTCTTGCACGTTTGTGCAATAAAATTATTCAGAAATGATGTGGGGGTGCTGTTCTTGTTCCTTTTTTTGCTACCACTTGGGCTGCACAATATCACATCGCAATATAATCGTGATTATATGGCACATGCACAACAATCACCAAAGCTTCAGATGATGGGCGAAAACATTTGTCCAGACAACAGCTTTTGAGAAGGGTCCAGGCAGCAGGGGCAAGAAAAAATCCAGATGCATAAAACTTTGCGTAAGCACAGATCTACGCACATTCCCTTTATAAATCCCAATGAGCGTGAAATTTTACGTACGTGAACGAACCCACAGCCACCCCCCCGCCCCGCCCATAATTATGTATATTTGCATATGTAAATCTGTATAAATACCCGCTTTGTTCTATGTTTTTCTTAAACAACAATGGATAAACCACTTGGGAAAAAAATTTCTGAGAATGAACGAATCATGGGTTGAGCCAGGCCATCTAGCCACAACATAAATGCAGGGGCGTCATAAGAATTTTGAATGGGGGGGGGGGCATAAAAACTGGCATAAAACTAATGTTTTATGTTAAATGCGGGGGGATCCAAACGCATAATTATGAAATGTGAGGGGGACACGTCCCTCTCAGATTTTATGGCGGCGACACCCATGCATTAATGAGACGCATGTTCGAATCGCACATGATTTGTACATTAATAGAGTGAAAGTGCTTTCTATTTACATAAGCATAAGCAAATTCAGTCTCTGAAGGTGCCTTTATAGCAATGTGCGCACAGATTGACTCCGATTACTTTGGAAAAACCGGACATCGCTGCAAATTGCGCTTTAATCTTTGCCTGTTCAACCACAGTGTAAGGAAATTTTATATATTTGGGTGACAAGCGTACTATGCCGTCCCATACAGCTGGCATGGCGCGACTCAGTGTTGACTGAGAAATGCCTGATCGGTCCACAAGTTCTCGCTGAAAAGCACCTGTAGCTAAGAACCCGCAAGTGGACAGAACTTGTAAAGGAATAGGTATAGCGCAATTCCTCATCATCTGCCTTTGTAATGCTGGCCCCAGTTCAGCACACAGCTCCAAAAGGATTGCTCTTAGAGATCTGAATCGACTTCGAAGCCAGTCATCATCATGGGCCAAGAAATCACTGTGATCCCTGAATACACGCTCTCTTCTAATTCTTCCATAAGCTATGTCTTCCAATAACGCAAGAGCTGCCATGGTAGTTGTAATAGTTCGGTCATTTCCTGCACCGTTTTATTGTTACAATTTGATTAAAAATCAGGTGCTGTACATTTGTAAACAATATACAATTAATGTCGGTGTATTGGATAAAGTCAGTGTCATGATTTTGAGTTTAAAAAGGGAAGCCACAGTAGCAATGACTTGCCACTAAGTGCCGTCCGTTTACAAAAACGAGCAGAAACGTGCGTACGCCATGTCTGGAGCTGCCATGAGAATGTGCGTAGCGATACGCCAAGTTTAGTTTTTATCATCTCGACGTGAGCGTGGAAACGGATGTACGCAACATTTTCGTGCGTACACACCGTTTATACATAAGGCCCCAGATCTCCACAGCTCCATTAGTAGAGCCAATTAAATTTCACAATATTGCACGGGTCTCTCCGTTGATGAGCCAATCAAGTTTCGACTTTCATTATGCACATCAAATAACATCACTGAAGGAGAATTCAAACAGAGAATTTGCTGTCAAAATAAAAGCTGCCAGAAGTATTCCGCTGTAAAGCATGAAGTGTTTGTTCCAACAAAAATATATTCTACAGGGATGATATTTTTTGAAACTGCTACGATACACAACCATGCCTAAGAAGCAAAGAAAATAAACTGAAGCAACAGTCCCTAATGCAACCTTACTATAATCTGTATTAAGTGAAAAATTTTATGGTACGATAACATTTACATTGTTTTGAAAGGATACTAACTTTGAAACTGCTTATTTTTTCCCTCCCGCTTTTTAAAACTGGTCATTATTTGGTGAACAGTTAAACCAAAGTAGATTTTCCCCAGTTTTTATAAACAAACTCCGGAAATCATCTCCCGCCACGCCCCTTTGCCCCAGTGTCTCCTGACCCCGTTTTGGGAAGCCCTGTCTTACATTGCGGTAGGCCTGGCTAGAAGCTGGTTGTTGCTGCCAAGAGCAAGGAAGGTGAAGACTCCTACCTCCACATCCTGCAGGCTGAAGTCACTCTGGTCTCTGAAGCTGGCCGCCCCGGCGCTCAGCTCCATCAGCATCTTGGCGATCTCAGGCTTTATTGCTGCTGTGAGCCGGCCGGCAGCCTCCATGACGTGGTCCTGCACGTCCCTCATTTGCATAGCTGCTTTGGCGTAGCGGGAATTCCGGAACACGCCACAGAAGAGCTCGGTGAGCAGGGAGCTGGCACGGCAGAAGGCGTTGAGCGCGTCCAGGTACTTGGAGATGCCCTGTTGGATGTCCGCCACAGCGCTGCCGCCGGAGCTGCCAAGGGGAGGGGAGTGGCCATAGCCACCCCCGGGGGTACCGGAGGAAGGGGCGGAGCAGGAGGAGCCCAGGGGCACCCCAAGGCCCCGGCCCAACTCTGGCATCTGATACTGCGGCACCTTCTGCTTGGACCCGCCAAGCAGAAAGCGTCGCTTGTAGTCCATTTTGTTCTCTTGAGCACTACAACAATACATAGGGGCAGGTCTGTCTTCAGCTAGTTCTCAGCTGCTCTATCGATTTCTCCGTGCTGCAACAACTGCGGACCTGCCTCCGGGCTCCTTCGGCCAACCCGGAACTTTCTAAGTTAAGAACAAAGACAGCTGAAGGGGAAAACGACTGAGGGACATCTTCACTGGTCTGTCACCGACCCAGAGGGAGCGAGGGAGATGGGGTACGACTGCCGACGGGAGCCTGATTTTGTGTTTTTTTTTTTTTTGTGCAGTCCAGCTGCAGATTGAATCTACAGGACCAGGGGGAGCAGATCAGGCAGAACTTGCATCCCCACTATTTCTCTCCTAACCGCTGAGAAACCCGCCAGCCGCGGGAGGCCGGAGGAAGCAGCTGGAGGATGCAGGACGCCAAAGACTGCACAGCAGAAGCTGAAAGCGGTGCCTCCTTAAGCCGTCTCTCCTTCCAAGTCCCTCAGACCAAGGAGGACTTTGATGTTTTGGCCGTCTCTGTACTTCTGCTCAAGACAGAGGCTCTCTCTTGCTGGTGTGTTTTTGTTTTTTCCCTTCCTCTACGCAAATGCAATAAAATTTGGCAAAAAAAAAATAAATAGCCTTTACCACAAAAACAAATCTTCAAAAGCTGGACGCAAGATGCAGAAGGAAAAAAGTGGAAGACGCACAGCACCGGTCAACAGCAGGGGAGCAAAACGGGGATAAGCTTTAACACCAAGTCAAACAAATGGTTGGCAGAGCAAAACAGGTGGGGGATCCAAGCGCCTGGCGTGTTCCCCCCTCCCCGTACCCCCCCGCACCCCCGCGAGCTCAGCCTCACAGTACGGAGCTTTTCCTCGTCAGCCAGGGGGCCGACGAAACCCGGCTTGACGCTGATCCTTTTCACGTGTTGCAGAGAACAGGCTCCCTGCAGCGTGTCCTGAATGCTGTGAGGGGTGCAGGGTGGACGCTTGTTAAAAAAGAACCCTGACTCGGTGTGCATGGGGGCCCCCGCTCCACTCAGAGGTAGTCGGTGGCGTCACTGTGGAAACATGGGCCACTCCCGGACCAAGCTCCTGCGCGATTGTAGTCCGAGGCAACCAAGCAAAAACATGCCGGTAAGGCCTCTAGGTCATTTCCTGGAGGAGAGAAGGAAGGGGTGGATAGGAAAAAGAGAGAGAGAAGGAAAAAAAGAGAGAGAAATACATGTTAACATTTACTGGAGCAAAAACACACTTTGTCAGATATTTATTTTCCGGTGTCTGTCAGATTGAGTAAATAAGCTTATTCACGTTTGCACTACACCTTCTTATTTACACAGCAGGAAAAGCACAAACAGCACACGTCAGAGGGAGCCTGACGAGATTAAAGTGAGCCTTGGTGGTTCACAAAGGCACCTGCCGCCAGAAAGTACATTCACAAGAACAGACTTCGCTCACAATGGAGGACAACAGGCAGCTTTATATGCCTAACAATGACTGACGGAAATGTCAGAGCTAATTAGACCAATTAGAAATGCGAGTGGAAGACCTAAAGGTTTCAGAATTTGCCAAACGAAGGAAAAATAAACCATGAAAAAAGAAAAAGACAAAAAAAAAAAAAAAAAAAAACAGAGGAATACAGAAAAAATACAGTTTTGGCCAATGGGACCCCCTCCAGCTGCACAAGCCGCCGACGGCCACTCGCCCCCCAGCGAGTCACAGTCACTCTGCATTACTCCAGAGTTCCTCTGACCTTCGAACACTCCCAGCACAGAAAGGGATTCTGCTCCATTTCCTGCTGCCCAGCCCAGCTGCAGAAGGGAAATAATAACTTTCAGGGAGTCAAAGTGACCACAGCAATGTTGTCAACGCAGCCGAATTATAATAGGCGCCCGGTGGAAGCGCCTGGCTTTTCACACTACGGAGAGGACACCACTTTCCCTACTGACAACAGACTCTTGCGGCTCAGCAGAAAAATGGGAATAGAAAGAAAGGTCAGCCCATTTTAAAAGTAGCACGCTGGAAAAAGGCCGTAGGACAAGAGACATGGAAATCCACCAGACTTAAGGACTATTAACATCAGCTACAACACTGTTAAAAATAATAATAATAATAATAATAATAATAATAATAATAATAATAATAACCTAACAATTTTAGATTATACAAGGCTTCCTAGGTAAACGCAAAGAATAAAAACTTTAAGACAAAAATAGTCACTCAACTTTTTTTCCCCCCGTTATTAACAGCAAGACACCTGGCTCATTTTTGAGCTGCGAACATGAGGTGCAACATTTTGAGCACAGCACAGTCTGGCCTATCGTCCTTTCTGATGTCCACCCGCAAACTGAGGGAGCGACTCAAAATACTCAAAACAAGCTTAAAAAGCAGACATGCTCCTCTCCTACGTAAACAAGCTAAAACAAAAAATCAAAAAGCAACAGAGGAATCATCAGTTTACGCTTATGATCCTCCTATCATGCAGACTACGATGCCAGAAACTGAGAGACATGGCAGCAGATTATGAAGTGTGTTTGCAAAACATTCAAGTTACTCCATTCATTCGCTACAGGATCCAGCCTGGAATACGCCAATGTCACCATATTTATCCCTGTCATATTACAGGCAGACTAACTCCACAATCAGGGCTGACAGATAACCAACGCAAACTCGGCAAACCTTCCATGCACTATTTCACAGGATGGTGAAGCTCAAACCACCTGGAGAAAGACATAATTCTCCCCCCACCCCCCAGTTAAGCATCAGAAATTTGCTTCGCCATTCAAGCCTAAACCCAGTCTCCTTCATTATGTCACCAGTCTATGAATGGCGTCACTTTTCTGTGGGGTCAGGCAGAGGCGAAAACTGGGCCGGTATCGATACCGCTGTGACTCAGGCGGCTTTGCCCTGCGCCGCTCCACGCACCCAAACACACACGTGTCCCAGAGATGCCCGAGGCCTAACCTGGCCCCCCGCCAGACCGCCTCGGTGTCCCTCTTCTGCAGAGCACGCTCGCGGCTAAAGTTAGCGCGGCTGCTGTCGTCGTCCGCAGCTCAGTTGCTATACTTGGAGCGGGGGCCTGTTTAGATCAGTTTCCTAGAGCATATTTTCTGGCGCCTATTACAAAACATCCTCCCAAAACAAAAAAAAAAAAAACATATGAAACACCATCGCTGTAAAGTTGATGGATGAGAAAGCATGTTAGAAGATTAATATCCTATTTCAATCTACCTTACGATGAATAGGACTGAACAGTCATCCGACAACAGCTGTGACTGAATGTTTATGTATTTATACATCCTGACCCATTAAATGTGTATTGTTGAAACAAGCTGTCACGGGCTAACTTAACTACAAGCATCACCCCCTATCCTTCCATTTCCAATAGAGGCTTGTCCAACCGGCCAGGTCCACCACCCCAAAACAACCATTTATACGGATGTTTTTATATGAACCAAAACTGATTTTTTTTAGAAGCATGGCAGCAAGGACTCCGTATGTGAGAACTAGACAAGGAACTTCTTACGGCTGATACAGGTCAGCAGCTTTTGTATTTTACACCTTGCCTGTTCACGGCGCCCCCTAAAGGCAGGGTAGGTGTGCCATCTATAGACCCCTTTCTTCACACACTATGGACACCGGGCTGTAGATAAAGTCAACCCACCAGTGTAAACAACTGCAGAGAGTAACCTGGATGTCTGTCTACGCAGAGACCAGCTGACATCCACCCCAGGGGGAGTCCTGCCGCAGACTCTAAACTGAGCCGGCAAAGCAAATATGCGCCATTTGACCGTCTCTCACAGGCAGCAGGAATTTTTATTTTGGTTTTTTTTACAGGGTGTTTTCTGGAATGAGGACGACAGGGAAAGTCGCCGGCGAGTGGAGCCGAGGTCCCGGGCCCCACTCTCACGGGAGCCCACGGCCCAATCACGGCTCAGGCTGCGCACATTACACCATACATTTTCTATTTCAGCCTCCGTGGGCAAACAGCTGCTGCACATTATTATTATTTTTTTAGATTTAGCAGAGGAGAAAGAAAGAAAGGAAAAAAAAAAAACACAAAAATCTAATTAAAAACAGCCCTGGACATCTGTTGCTAGTAAAGTGATGGAATGCTTTCCCCTCACTGTGCACTGAAAACTGACAGACAGAAAGAGAGCAAAAGCAGGTGAGCATTGTTTGCTTATTCATTCATTAACTTAGGAACGCTGACCTAAAAATACAAATGACTTTTTATAAAAGAAAAAAACATAAATAGTTGCCAAAATGGTGTGCAGCTATATCCTCCCTGAACCATACAAGCTTTGGCAATTGCGATGAAGCCGGTTAAATTAAATGTCTTTACCCCGACTCTGGCATGAACCTTAAGGAAAACCATCACCCGGACCTCAGAGCGCTGTCCCGATTACGGCATGCAAGCAGCTCGTTGTGAAGTAGTGGAAAATAGTGGACTAAGCCAAAAGTTCATGTCAAATTACAGTGAAGGCAGAATACTTTGCGGTGCCAAGGTAATTAAGTTTTAAGCACTCTGGAGGATCTCAAACAAAGGGTAGAATGAGTCCACCCCCTTAATAAACCCCAGAGAGATGAGATTCCTTACAATGTAAGCCTCTCTTTCCATAAATAAGTGATCACCTTTCTAAACACACAGAAAAATAATCATTGTAATGACTGTAGTCGTTACAACACTTTACATGTTTTTGCTTTATGCCAGGTTTGGTCATGCCCTTTATAAACATATACAATGTTGGCATTAGCGTTTAGAAGCTACCCACTTGCCTGAGAAATGTTGTGCAGGGGTGTGAAAAGCTCTCCGTATGACCCAAAAGGATAAATAGGGAGAGCAAAAGAGCTGCATCTCTCAACAGCGAGTCCCTAGTTTTACTCAGAAGTGAAAGGGGTTTGATACAATAGTGATGTTTTGTAACTTCTGCCTTTTCTTCAAAGGCGTCGTTCTAATTTTAGCTTCATATATTTTCAGGACAGCTTTGTTCTCCAGGCGGCATGTGTGAGATGAGGCAAAGAAAAGTCTTGTTCATGGACAAACAGTTTCACCAAACCATTTGGCAGTTTTGGGGAGTCCTTCCTGAGATTCACGCGCCACATTTCAAACCAGCGCCACATGTATCGGGGCACTTCTCTGGCTGTCCGTGCAGTGCGTGCAGTGCGTGTGTCGTCTGTAGCCATGAGGGGTTTAAACAGAAGCGAAAAGGTCAGAGGTCGAGCCAAGTGGTAACACAAGTGCAGCAAGCGCCTGTTTCCCAGAAGCACTTCTGCGGCCCAGTCCCTATTCCTGAGAGCGCGCCCGGCATCAGAGCGAAGAACCTGCTGCATGCTCTTTCTCACACCTCCCCAGTCGGCATGGCGATCACACCTAATGCTAGTGTGGACACATGTACACTTGGCACTGGAGGGTGAAATCTCCGACAAGCGTGTGCTTCAGATAAGTTAAACAGATCAAAAGGGGACAAAAACACATACTGCAGACTCTGAACTGCCAGGCACCAAACGGGTAACATATTTATTCTGGTAATCTGGTAAAACTTTTGGCATGCTCTAGGAGTGCCACATACCAACCAGGCTGCTACACAACAGCAAGATGGGGGGGGAGGGGCAAACAACAGCCCCGTTACACTGTCGTCATGAATCTGTATCCAGGGGGGGTGCAACGACATATACACATCACTGCCAAAAGGGAAACACCCCAGTCAACACCTGTTATCATTCATGGCAAAAATTAGGGTCCTACTTTAAACAGGCACTGGAGGAAGGGGAACAAACATGAGCGTGTTTTGATCAGAAAATGTTGCCACAGCGGATACAGAAGCTGGTGCTAAACGCAGCGATTTGACAGGGGATCAGCATGTCCAGTGGAGGCTCTCCGGCCGCGTTACTCACTGGGCAACGAACTGTCAGACTCCAGGCCCGGGTAACAGGAGAACCAGCGAGAGAGCCAAGGAGTCTACAAGCCGACAGCGAGCCCGGCTCACGTTTCACCACCTGTGGCAGTTATGTGCCGGCCTCTCGCTCCCACTGACTGGTTGCTGCTGCTCGCTTTATTTTTAGCGTGAACAAATGTGAGAAATAATCATTTTATACGACGAGTAGGGAAAACACAGCATCACCACAGAGTGCGAACCCTGACGTTATTTGATTATTATTCAAAATGCTTAAAAAGCAGTCGTCCGAGGTCCAGTGTTTTGAAAATCTGACACTGGTCCTTTCAGTCTGTTCTTTATCCCTAATATGGTCACAGACTAAGCAGTTTTCAGAGGCCAGTCATATTACTGTATAGTACCAAAGTTCAATAAGTAGCTGCTGCAAAACACAACAAGAAAAACCTCATAAAACCAGATCTAGTGACCCTTCAGGCACAACTGAAACCCAACCAGCTCTCAGTGTGATCAAAGCAAAAAACGCAAAATATGCATAGCATCCAGACGGGTTTTTTTTTTTTTGAGATACACAACTTTGATAGCCAACGAGCACCCCACCAGAGCGATGCATTCTGCCCAGTATCGTAGATGAGGAATGCCGGGGAGCTCACACTATCATATATGAAAATCCACAAGCAAGAGGGCGACCAGGAGCCGAGCGCCGGCAGAACACGGCGCTTGTTTCCCTGGAAACCCAAGCGGCGGTGGCACTACAGCACACCCTCGCAGCGACTCCACAGCAGCAGCAGCTCGTCACGCTCCACTTCCTCCCAGCCCATTACCGCGGAACACCGCCGCCGTGGCGACCAACATCAGCATCTGTTTTTGCTAATGCAGTCAGCCCGGACAGCACAAGTGAGTGTAAACACAGGTACGGCACCTTTTATGCAAAAATGTCTGTCAAATACGAATTAGATCGGCATCCACGCATGATTTCCTAGAAAT